AAAGTCTCACAGCCCTCTATCATAATCCAGAGTTTTGAGAAGATTGGAGAAACTTAATTTTTCGCCCAAAAATGAAAAAAAACGAAAGGGGTAACACTGTCGTTTTTTTTTCGGGTCGAAATTTTGAATTTGATATCTCAGCTCTGGAAGGGTCTAGAGCCTCCATTTTTGCACTCAGGTCAAAGTCTCACAGCCCTCTATCATAATCCAGAGTTTTGAGAAGATTGGAGAAACTTAATTTTTCGCCCAAAAATGAAAAAAAACGAAAGGGGTAACACTGTCGTTTTTTTTTCGGGTCGAAATTTTGAATTTTGATATCTCAGCTCTGGAAGGGTCTAGAGCCTCCATTTTTGCACTCAGGTCAAAGTCTCACAGCCCTCTATCATAATCCAGAGTTTTGAGAAGATTGGAGAAACTTAATTTTTCGCCCAAAAATGAAAAAAAACGAAAGGGGTAACACTGTCGTTTTTTTTTCGGGTCGAAATTTTGAATTTGATATCTCAGCTCTGGAAGGGTCTAGAGCCTCCATTTTTGCACTCAGGTCAAAGTCTCACAGCCCTCTATCATAATCCAGAGTTTTGAGAAGATTGGAGAAACTTAATTTTTCGCCCAAAAATGAAAAAAAACGAAAGGGGTAACACTGTCGTTTTTTTTTCGGGTCGAAATTTTGAATTTGATATCTCAGCTCTGGAAGGGTCTAGAGCCTCCATTTTTGCACTCAGGTCAAAGTCTCACAGCCCTCTATCATAATCCAGAGTTTTGAGAAGATTGGAGAAACTTAATTTTTCGCCCAAAAACGGAAAAAAACGAAAGGGGTAACACTGTCGTTTTTTTTTCGGGTCGAAATTTTGAACTTTGATATCTCAGCTCTGGAAGGGTCTAGAGCCTCCATTTTTGCACTCAGGTCAAAGTCTCACAGCCCTCTATCATAATCCAGAGTTTTGAGAAGATTGGAGAAACTTAATTTTTCGCCCAAAAATGAAAAAAAACGAAAGGGGTAACACTGTCGTTTTTTTTTCGGGTCGAAATTTTGAATTTGATATCTCAGCTCTGGAAGGGTCTAGAGCCTCCATTTTTGCACTCAGGTCAAAGTCTCACAGCCCTCTATCATAATCCAGAGTTTTGAGAAGATTGGAGAAACTTAATTTTTCGCCCAAAAATGAAAAAAAACGAAAGGGGTAACACTGTCGTTTTTTTTTCGGGTCGAAATTTTGAATTTGATATCTCAGCTCTGGAAGGGTCTAGAGCCTCCATTTTTGCACTCAGGTCAAAGTCTCACAGCCCTCTATCATAATCCAGAGTTTTGAGAAGATTGGAGAAACTTAATTTTTCGCCCAAAAACGAAAAAAAACGAAAGGGGTAACACTGTCGTTTTTTTTTCGGGTCGAAATTTTGAATTTGATATCTCAGCTCTGGAAGGGTCTAGAGCCTCCATTTTTGCACTCAGGTCAAAGTCTCACAGCCCTCTATCATAATCCAGAGTTTTGAGAAGATTGGAGAAACTTAATTTTTCGCCCAAAAATGAAAAAAAACGAAAGGGGTAACACTGTCGTTTTTTTTTCGGGTCGAAATTTTGAATTTTGATATCTCAGCTCTGGAAGGGTCTAGAGCCTCCATTTTTGCACTCAGGTCAAAGTCTCACAGCCCTCTATCATAATCCAGAGTTTTGAGAAGATTGGAGAAACTTAATTTTTCGCCCAAAAACGGAAAAAAACGAAAGGGGTAACACTGTCGTTTTTTTTTTCGGGTCGAAATTTTGAACTTTGATATCTCAGCTCTGGAAGGGTCTAGAGCCTCCATTTTTGCACTCAGGTCAAAGTCTCACAGCCCTCTATCATAATCCAGAGTTTTGAGAAGATTGGAGAAACTTAATTTTTCGCCCAAAAACGGAAAAAAACGAAAGGGGTAACACTGTCGTTTTTTTTTCGGGTCGAAATTTTGAACTTTGATATCTCAGCTCTGGAAGGGTCTAGAGCCTCCATTTTTGCACTCAGGTCAAAGTCTCACAGCCCTCTATCATAATCCAGAGTTTTGAGAAGATTGGAGAAACTTAATTTTTCGCCCAAAAACGGAAAAAAAACGAAAGGGGTAACACTGTCGTTTTTTTTTCAGGTCGAAATTTTGAACTTTGATATCTCAGCTCTGGAAGGGTCTAGAGCCTCCATTTTTGCACTCAGGTCAAAGTCTCACAGCCCTCTATCATAATCCAGAGTTTTGAGAAGATTGGAGAAACTTAATTTTTCGCCCAAAAACGGAAAAAAACAAAAGGGGTAACACTGTCGTTTTTTTTTTCGGGTCGAAATTTTGAATTTCGATATCTCAGCTCTGGAAGGGTGTAGAGCCTCCATTTTGGCACTCAGGTCTAAGTCCCATGGCCCTCTATCAGAATCCAGAGTTTCAAGAAGATTGGAGAAACTTATTTTTTTGCAGGAAAAAAAAACTAAAGGGGTAACACTGTCATTTTTTTGAGGGGGTCGAAAAAATAAGTTTCGCCAACCTTCTTGAAGCTCTGGATTCTGATAGAGGGCCATGGGACTTTGACCTGAGTGCAAAAATTGAGGCTCTAGACCTTTCCAGACCTGAGATATTTATAATATCATAAATGCTAAGTGGTATCGCAATATCTCAGCTCTGGAAGGGTCTAGAGCCTCCATTTTGGCACTCAGGTCTAAGTCCCATGGCCCTCTATCAGAATCCAGAGTTTCAAGAAGATCAGAGCAACTCAATTATAAATATCTCAATATCTCAGCTCTGGAAGGGTCTAGAGCCTCCATTTTTGCACTCAGGTCAAAGTCTCGTGGCCCTCTATCAGAATCCAGAGTTTAAAGAAGATTGGAGAAACTTAATTTTTCGCACAAAAAAAAAAAAAAAAAAACGAAAGGGGTAACACTGTCGTTTTATTTTTTTTATTTTTTTTTGGGGGGGGGGGGGTCGAAATTTTGAGTTTCTTTGATCTTCTTGAAACTCTGTATTCTAAAAGAGGGCCATGGGACTTAGACCTGAGTGCCAAAATGGAGGCTCTAGACCCTTCCAGAACTGAGATATTGAGATATTTATAATGGCATAATGCTACGTGGAATCTCAATATCTCAGCTCTGGAAGGGTCTAGAGCCTCGATTTTTGCACTCAGGTCTAAGTCCCATGGCCCTCTATCAGAATCCAGAGTTTCAAGAAGATTGGAGAAACTTATTTTTTCGCACAAAAAAACAAAAACAAAGGGGTAACACTGTCCTTTTTTTCCTGTCGAAATTTTGACCCGAGCCTGAAGGGTCTTCACCGCCGTGGCCGCCTGAAGGCTCTTCACCGCTGTGGCCGCCTGAAGGGTCTTCACCATCCTGGCAACACTCTCAGCCTACTCCGCCCTGGCAACGCTCTCAGCCTGCTCCGCCCTGGTCACACCTCTCAGCTCTGCTTCACCATGTCCACGGCCCTAAGTCCCATGGCCCTCTATCAGAATCCAGAGTTTAAAGAAGATTGGAGAAACTTATTTTTTCGTACAAAAAAAAAAACGTCAGGGGTACCACTGTGTGTACCACATTGAGTTGCTCTGATCTTAACTCTTGATTCTGATAGAGGGCCTTGGGACTTAGACCTGAGTGCAAAAATGGAGGCTCTAGACCCTTCTAGAGCTGAGATATTGAGATCCCTCATAGCATATATGCCATTAAAAAATAGTGGGTTCGCGGATGGTGGAATTTTGGGATGGCGCTTGGTGCTACGGACCCCGGGGGGGGCCTGCTGAGTGCAGTAAAATAGTTTTTATCATGACAGGACAGGAACTTTAGTTAAAATGTCTATCAAATACTACCCGAAACCCCATTCAATAGATTGCAGGCGGGATGGTGTCCAACATAAAAATGGTATGAAACTCATACAGGTTTGGAACAACATGAGGGTGAGTAAGTGATGACAAATATAATTTGTGGTTAAACAAAGTGGGTTCATGGACCTTTAAAGGCATAGTTCACCCAAAAATTTAAATTTAAAGGCATAGTTCACCCAAAAATTTAAATTAGCCCATGATTTAATCACCCTGACCTCTAGCCATCCTTGGTTATATGACATTCTTCTCTCAGACGAAAACAATCAGAGTTATATTAAACAATGCCCTGGCCCTTACAAGCTTTATATTGGCTGTAAATGGTTGTTTCTGTTTTGAAAGTCCATAAAAGTGCATCTATCCATGATACAAGTGCATCTATCCATAATAAAAGTGCATCTATCCATCATAAAATTGCATCTGTCCATAAAAAATATATATTAATATAAAATATTTTAAATATTCATATTTAAGTTGCGCTTTAGATTTAAGTCAAATCCATATGTTCTTTTGGCCGTAAATTATTTTACTTAATAAAGTTTTAAATATGGATATTTTTCTTACATCTCCATCTTCCTTATAACTCCACATAAAGTCAACATCTGAGATATTTTCATCAGCTATATGTTCAAGCACTTCAGAACTGTATATTCTGCCCATGAAAAAGTTTAAAAAATGTCTCGGTACTGATATATATATATATATATATATATATATAAAGAAATTTCAATCAGCATCACTGAAAATGGGACTTCAGTAACAGGCTTTCAAACCTACTGTCCATTCTAATGGACAGACACATTTAAAAAAATCCTGATTTAAAACGTGCAATTGTACAGTCGATTTTTAACTTTAATTAATAAGTTCAATTTTTCTATTTTACATACAAACTATGAAATACTGGCAAAAATATATACAAAATGTAAATATAACTTAGAAAATGTTGCTTGCTTCTGTGTTTGGAGTGAAGTGCTGCCATGCTTCTCTTCAATGTAGTGTTATATATATATATATATATATATATATAATTACTACATGCAGAACTCTACTGGCATTTGATTGGATGACAAACGTCCAATCTCATGGACTGCAGGCTTTACACTAGGTGAAATGCTCCAGAAGTTAAAAAAAGGGGGCTGACATGTGATGTCCATTGTAATGGACACAGGGTCTGAATGGGTTATGTTGTACAAACACATTGTCCTTTATTGAGAAGAAAGTAATAAATTATAAACAAATGTACAAGCAGTTTGATGCCGCTCCTCCCCTCTCTGGTCATTACGTGAGGCAGTAAATCATGCATATGGAAAGGTACACAGAAAATAGGTTTGATAAATACATGAAAGTATAATTTAAGAAAACGGGTGGGGGATTATAACCAAAACGCTAACTTTTCATCCGTGATCCTCGTCTCACACCCAGACATACGTGATTCGTTGTGAATGTATTGCATGTGAGTTCTTTGGCACTACTGGTAAGGTCCATGTCTTATATAACCCAGATGTATTTATGTAATTGTGTGAATGAAAGCTGTGTATTCGTGTACTGCCATGAGAATGCATAAGAGGGCGCCGTTTCACTGACAATTTTCTTCATGACTGCTTTTGCTCACCATTTCTGCACTAGTAAGTTACCTTGCTCAACTGGAATTGAATCTTCAAGTTCCGAAATTAATATAAAAGAGCCTTTTGTTACAGTGACCCCTCCACAGGAAAAAAGACTTGCCAGAAGCAGTTAAAGAATGTTTTTTTTTTTCACCAGGAACATATAGGCTAAAGACAGACTAGAAATCACAAATAATTACATTCTCCACATTATAGAGAAGTTGACATACAATACTGTGATACATTCTCAAAAAAGCTGAAAAAACCTTTGGATCACACATACCAGTTCCTTTATAACAAAACCGCCCAAATCCCTTTTCCTACAAAAAAAAAAAAAAAAAAAAAAAAAAAAGCCATAAGACAAAAGCGTTGTTTCTTATTCACTCCTGCCCATTTTCTCCTTCCTTACCTCCATTTCTTACTTCCTATTCTTGCACTTAAAGCAGTTGCACTGTTTAATTGAACTCTGTGAAGTCCCTGCAGATGCCCCGCACGATGGGCTGCTGGAACTGCGCCAGGCCGGTGAACTCACGAGTGAAAAACACGTGGCTCTCCTTGGGCTCGGATGCCATCGCCTTCAGATCTTCCATAGGAGCCCAAGCCACTCCAACCGTGTACACAGTGATCCCTGTGACAAAACAGAAAGTGCATGGTCAGGGTGACATCACACTTAATTTACTTTCTGTGCACTATATCTATATCTTGTGATTAAGAACTTTTAAAATCTCTTAAATGTTCAAGATTAGCTGTTTTCAAACCCCCACCTACTCCCTTACCACCTCAGGGACCTTCACTATACAAAATTAAAGCTACATTTTGTTGATTACACTTTATACTAACTTTAAATAAGAACATTATCTTCTCAAAGGACCCACTGGACCTTCAGTGACTTGTTGAAACCCCTGAGGTTCAAGATGAAGTGTTAGTGTAAAAAGCGTACCCTCTCTCTGGGCGGCCATTGCCGGCACTCTCACATCATCGTAGGATTGGCCATCGGTGATGATGATGAGATACTTCCTGTTGGAGCTTGTGTGGGGTTTAAAGAGGCTCCGCACAGCAAAGTTGATGGCGTCTCCAGTGGCCGTTCCTCCGCTCATGTATGGGATGTTCTGCAGGGCCCTCAGAGCATTATCTTTCGTGATGTGGTCATTGAAGTTGAACTCCATCCTTTGGTCGTAGGTGAACTGGATGGCGCCGATGCGAGATCCGATGTCGGAGATGTCAAAGCTGCGTGCGATGGAGACAAGAAGGTCCAGCACAAGCCGGAAATTCCCATCACCTACGCTGCTGGAGCCATCGATCAGGAAGCCCAGGTTTACTGAGTTATAGCACGTCTTGCTGCAGAGCATCTGATCGATGGAGCAAAGTTTATGAGCTAGTGGCTTCACAAACTTGTTGGTGCTGAACCAGCTGGGCATGGTGAAAGTGAAGAACTCATTGTCCTTGCACACTGCCTGTGAGATACATGTCAGTGTAAGCGGATTTCAGTAAACTCAAATGTTCCCAATGATGAATGTGTGTGTGTGTGTGAGAGAGAGGTTCATGAATTCATATGTTAAACATCTCACCTTTCTCATAAAGTCTTGATCGCTCACCAAGCTCATCTCCTCGGGAGAAGGTTTGGCCACAGACACAAAGAAGACGTTAATGCCAGACTCTCTGGCTAAAACTGCCGCCTCCTCCACATTGTCAGAAGGCCACCCATCAACAAAAACCACAATGATCCGTGGGTAACCTCTCCGCACACCAAAATCCGGATTGAAAAAGTTCCTCACGGTGTGCAGTATGGCCTTACCTGTGCAGAAGACAATAACTCAAGCCTGCAAAGTTCTGCTCATTTCAGCTAAAGCATCTTCAATTATTAATTATTCCAACTAAAACCGTTATGCGAGTGTCAGATTTTAAATGAATGAGTCTAATACAAGTTACATCTATATCAACCAAATCTGTGGAATGCTGTCAGTTATCAAACAAAATCAATTTCATTGATTGTGAAAACAAATGATAATGCATTTCCAGTTATATACTGATAACACCTGATAACTATGGGCCAAGGCACTCTGGATTTCAAGGGGTTTCAATGCACACATGTACAAATTTTAGCACGTTACATTGTTAAGTCAGGTGGCAACAAGTGACTGTCTCTTTGATTGGGTTATTGTTTAATTTATTCAACAACACTTTAGGAACAAAGCAAATGGCTGTCTTTCAGTAACTTAATCATCGTTCACTCAACCGATTCGTTTTAAAAACTCAGGCTGCATCCTAAATCGCATACTTTCTAGAGTAGGTACTTGTTTTGAATAAGTCATTTGGCCTAATGGCGTAAAGTGTCCATCAGATCCACGGGTCATCCTGGTAGTTTTGCGTCCTCTTTTATGAGTACTGTGAGTACTTACTTTGGACAACAGAAATACTTCACCAACTATATAGTAAGAAAGTATGCGATTTCGGATGCAGACTCATTTTTTAGGAACGAAACAAGTGACTGTGGTTATGAGCGACTGTGTGGTCATTGAATCATTTAGGAACAAAAGTGACTGTTGCATGGAGTTGGCTCTGCTGTGGCTTCGTTTGGAACTTTTTTAATTGACAAAGCAAAACCAGGCAAAGTAACTGAAAACATGGTCTAAAATTTAAGCCACTTATTAACTTCTTGTTCATTGAACTTTTGTATAAAAGCAACATCGGACTACATGATTGTTTAAATGGAATTTTTGTTTGTCTTACACTTTTCCAAAAAAGGGGGGTATTGATTTGCTCTAGACTCCACCCAATCATTCGCAAGACATGTGTGTTGAGGGGAAAGTTAAAAACCTGTGTTTGTATTGCCCCCAATGTACGGGATCTCTTTGATGGCAAAAGTCACATCTTTGGCTGTCGTATAGTTTGTCAAGTAGAATTCAGTTCGAGGTGTCTCGCTGAAAGAAAAACGTGAAATTTTAGCCTACTTAATGACAAAGAAAGAAAAAACATGAAATGTGATAAACACCTTGGAAGTGCACAGATCACCTGGTTTGCACCACTCCTAAATGAGGACCTGGTGTTCCAACTTTCAAGGTGGTTGCAAGCTTGCTGACAAAGTTCTTTTGCAAGTTGAACCGCCGCTGTCCAATGTTGTAGCTGCTATCCAGCAGCAACGCCATATCGACCGGGCAATCTGAAACAAGGTAATGTTTACAGTACTTGCATGACATCGTACTCTGACAATTTAAAGTTAGAATAGTAAATCGGGTCATACAGACCTCTGTTTGCTGTTGTTGGAGGAGGCTTCTTCACAGGTTTTTTGACTGGCTTCTTGGCTGCAAGGGAAAAGTAGGAATGCTCAGTGTAGACTACACATGTAAACTATCTCTAGTTATCTAAACACTTGTTACCTGCTCCAGATGCAACTGTGGCAGAACTGCTGGTTTGGCTGGACACTTCCAAAGGCAAGCTAATTGCTCCTGAGAGAAAATAGCAAAACATTTAACCTGACAAACCTTTATGAAGTCTTCATTTTATACACTATATTATTTATACTCAAACTGACCTCAAAGTCCTAGTTATACTTATTGAGAATAGGAGCACGTCTTTTTGAAACCACAAAGTTATGTTTAAAAAAAAAGTAAGTTTTTGATTTTTATTATTTATTAAGTTTTATTATGATATCATGACACTAATTCAGAATTATTAAAATAATATTAACACTATAATCCATTGTTAATATAATTCAAGTATTATATTATATTATTCCACAGAGTGCAATGAAGTGCTACATTGTCTGTATCTGTAAACAAATCTATATATTTGATATCAAAACAGACAGGCATTTGTAAGGTTGCGAATCGTAATTTTCTCCACTCACTGGCCACAGTGAAAGATGAACTCCATTGTGACAGCGACTGAGACTGGACACCGTGAGCGTAAGAGCTGAGGTAGTTTGTCCTCCCTTGCAGTCCGTGAACCTCCACAGGTCCACCAGATAGGCTTATGATCCCTCTGGAGGACACAGACATTTTTTTTTTCCTTGCTATTGAAATTTCTTACATGAGTCTATTAAGCCAGTATCTTTATCATTGCTTTGGTGATTGTACCTGTGTATCGCTGCTCCACATATGCTGGAAATAGAAGCATATACTCCAGAACCAAAGACTGACAGGCTCCACAGAGTGCAGTTTGCTGGGCAGAGCACCAGCTGACGGGTGTCTGGTAGATCCACCGAGCGAGTTCCACAGCTAATTGGTGTTGGAACTAAACATGTATAACACAAGACATTTTACATAAAATGATTATATTCTTGTCAAATAAAACAAACATAGTAAACATTTTTGAACTCAAAAAGTAAATGTATGTCAAAAGGTCTATTAGCTACTAATAAAAAAAAAATTAATCAATCCATTAATACAAAAAAATAAAACAATAAAAATGTTTCTCAGAGTTAATACAAATATTGAGGAAAAAATTTATACATTTCATATTTAAAAAGTTGAAATTCTGGTACTTTGAAACAGTTTCTCCAATGTAACTACATTCTTTGCATTTAGAGTGTGTGGGGGGTGTTATGAAAAAGGAAGTCACTGACCATTTAATTCAGATCCAAAAGTGCAACAGCTCAAAGACAGAATACCTGTAAAAACACATGGAAAAAATATGATAATTCAGAATTACATAAAAAGAAGAGTTCAGTATCAGTCACTTTGAACAAATGAATCACCTACCTAATACATGAAGTATAGCAGACCACGTCGACATGGTTAATGAAGATATCTGTAAAGACAAAAGAGCGTTATAGCAGACAACAATGAATAAACTCACCCCATTCTGTTATAAACTCTTTTTTTTCCTATAAAAAAATACTAAACCTTCTAAGGCTTTTAAATCTTTATTTTTCCTTTTATCTGGGTGTGTAAAATTTATTTGGCACACAGTTGCGAAATCAGATATGATCCAGGAAAAGTGTAATCTCCCCAGACACATCCATCACAAACAGCTCCTTTGGAAATGCATACTTCAGTTAATCCACTCACAGAATGAGGTAAAAGGAGAGACAGAATGGAGGAGGAAAAAAAAGATGCATACCGTATCTGGATTATTAAAATGATCTCTATTAAAATGCATTAAACAGCCAAAAATCATCAACCACATATGAAGATCAAATCCAACTTACAGATATTTTGTGTAGGATGACGTTTCTTCAGCCTTAAAAGCTTTATAGAAAAAAATATTAAGTAATTCCGTTATGGATGATATTCCAGAGGTGTCTGAATATTGAGGAAAGAGCTAGTCCTTTAAATAATGTCCCCGAAAACCCCAATGATTCTCTGCTGACATCACAAGAGGCGGGCCTTACATCCAAACCACCTGAAAAGGACATTGTTTTAAATTCTCCTGCTTTTCAGCCATAGATCAAATATATGTACCAATATAATAACTATATGCTAGAACTCAGTGTAATCATGTAGTTTAGTTTATTCAGAGGTGGTGAGTAACAAAACAGATGAACACATGTCATTATTAGGCCCTGACTGACAGCCAAAACGTTATTAACCTTAATTAACCTTGATTCAGCGCTATTAATATTATCTTAACACACAATCTCACCCCAAATGGTCCGAATGATGAGAATGGCAGTCTATTGAGAAGACCTGAGCAAACAGAATGGAAACTTATCAGCCGATAAATAAAAGCACAAGTAGTGTGACAGATGCTTTTATCCCATGTCCCTTTCAAAAAAAAACCGTCAACACTCTTCTTGAACAAGGCTCATGCAGAAAAAACTGTGAATCGTCCATAAATTATTTTTATTTTCAATATACTGATAGTGCTCAGTATGTGAAAGGGCAATTGGGTGCATTAGGATGACACTGTCCTGTTTTCAAAGAGGTCTTTGTAACTTGGTAACTTTTATGTAATCATCCTTCATCAGCTGTACTGTGGATCATTTCCAGGTTTAATCCTGGCCGCAAACAGGAATATGATAGGTCCGTGTTTACTGAGTCTCAAAACTCATTGGCATTTACTTATTAAGTGCTATGGAAGTTTGCAGGAGTACATAGCGTGCGACAAGGTGCTTATTCAGTGGGACAGGTAAAAAAAAACCTCTCTAGGAATGATACTCAATCCTCTTAGAACAACTGCTCATTGTAACAACTGGGAACTGTCCCAATGTCTCAATTAATGAATATTTCACAGAACACAAAGTACATGTCAGACTCAAGCGGCCTTTCAGGAAAAGATTCTTGGGAAGGTCACGGTGGAAAACATTAAAGTCTCTCAACCAGAGTGTGAACTTCCATATCAAGTGAAGATTGGTTAGATAAACCATTCATGATTAAATTCCAGCAGTTTAAATCGTTTATTGATGGTGAGCCAAAATGAAACCAGAAAGGCCAGACTTTAGATTGTGGATAGTAAACAAAGACACAATCAGGTGGTATTATTAAGTAATAAAACCTAATATGTAAAAATGATTAATGTAATTAACGTATGTTATTAAAGAGATGGTTCACTTTGAAATTAATTTTTGATACGTTTTAGCTTACCTCAAGGGCATCCAAGTGTCTTTGTTTCCACAGTATTTTTTCATTTGGATTTTTTCGGTCCGTTGTTGTCCATCAGTCATAATGCAGGTTTAGGGGGTCCACCTCAAAAAGCATGCACAGAGAAGTCCAAATTAAAAATGATTTAATGACTCGTAAATGTAAGTACACATTGATGGCCTAAGACACGAAAGAGCGGTTTGTGTGAGAAAACGAACAGTATTTATATCGTTTTTACCTTGTGCCATGTCCAACTGATCTGAAGGCACAGGGGCTTCGGTCTGCGCATGCGCCGGAAGTGATCAATTGCGCGCCTACGTCACTCAGTGTTTACGCAGAGATTTTGGAAGATTTACCTTTCACTGTGAAGATCTAAACATATTTAGATACATCGAAATCGTCTTCCATTGCGATTTCCTGTATATCTAAATATGTTTAGCTTCCGAAGTCTTGAGGTAAGCTAAAACATATCAAAAATTAATTTCAAAATGAACTATCCCTTTAACAAAATATAATAAATATGTATAGTATTTTAATAGCCCAAAAAAATATAGTCGCTGTTTAGATTTAAATAGGCAAATGCTTTAGAGTTGATTGGATCATTATTGGTATGATTTGTATGTATATAATATATTATGATATGTTATATATTATGTTAAAACAGTGTGTTCCTTTATGTAATATTGGATTAGTTATGGTAGGTTAAGCAGGTGATGATTCCTGTGATTTGGTATTACAATTTGTTCCCATTGGGGCAGCTGATGGTCATATGGAAAAGTTGGCTTTACTCCTCTGGCTTTGTGCAGTCAGATGAAAAATGCTGAATTAAAGCAAAGTGACACACGTTTCTTCCCCGGCCAGCATCGCGTTGTCACGTTTCACACCATGTGAGACTTCATGGGAGATCCACAGCCTTCGTCCAAGAATGCATAGACTACCGCTCCACTCCCTATAAATAGTAGTAGCCGTCTCATGCTTCGATGGATGTCTCATTTAGGCGACCGTCTTCACCTACACAAATATTAGCCTTGGCTAATGCTGTGTAGACTTGAGCCCAGATTTGTCTGCTGAAAAGAGAAATTTATTTTCCCAAAATAAATAATTGTAATAAAAAAAAGATTTCATTCTCTATGTTGGAAACATTAACTAGAAAACAAAACAATATTTCATGATTTATATATATATATATATATATATATATATAGGTTTCTTGGAGATTTTGGGCATTGTGAATTCACCACAGAAAAAGTGATAGTTTCCAAGTGTGGGCAGAATGAAGATTTGCAGCAGTTAAAAATGATTAAAAAAATAGCTTGAGTTTTTAGTTTGTTCAGTTTTTAGTTCGTTTTTTTTTTTATTATAGTTTGTTTTATTTTATGTTTTTGCACTTATTGGGGCCATTTACGGAGACATCCTATACTAATACCTTATGTAGGCCTACTTGTCACTCTCCATTAGAGCTAATGGACGTCTAGTTCAAGTAAAAGTCAATGTGTAATACAATCTATTGTCAAAAGCTTGACAGTGAATGGCAGTATCTTTTGCAATATGTTTCAGTTTGCCATTCAAAAGTTTGGGTTGGGATTTTTTTTTTTTTAAGAAATTAATACTTTAATTCAGCAAAGACACATTAAATTGATCAAAGTTTTACCAACCATTAATTAGAGTCTAAAAAAATATTAAAATGGAAAAAAAGCTATTTAGAATTGTAATGATATTTCACAAAAATGACTGACTTTTGATCAGTGTTGGTTTGCATAAGACACTTATTCACACACCTAGGTAGTGAACATTTTCTCATCTCTTTCTTTCTTTTAAGAATTTCCTTAGTGATACAGTTATACACCACATTGAAGATTATTTTCCAGAATTCAATATTATTTCAAACTGCATAGTAGTCCTGCACCAAAATGGGTCTGCGCCAAAAAAATCTCATTGCATAACAGACCTACTTTAACACCCGGCACCACTAATTTGAGAGAACATTCACCACAACACACCAAGATCCTCTTGTTTTTGTGACCACCATGTGGGACTAATTCTCTCTGCAATCATTTGAAGAGGTGACATGCATGAGTAGAGAAAGTTCCAGTGCTGTGACCGGGGCAGGAGGGAGACATTTCCCACAACCGTAAGAGCAGGTCACTGAGGTGAGTCATTTCTTTGAGAAAAATCCCTGCTCATAATAAACCACCTCTGATACAGCGATTCCCACACACACATACAAAACACTTCGTTCTGCTTTTTACCTGTATCATAAACAAACAAAAAATGATCATATTAAAGCATTCTACTTATTGCATGTTGAATATCCTGTTTCAACAACTTGACAATTATAAACTGATCATCTGTGTGACTATGTACTATTTCTCTGTTCTTTGCCCGGTTCTAATTCCTTTGTGACCCATAAGGTCATTGTTGTTTGCTTTTAATCTAGTTGTTCTGAAACCAGTTATTGACCATGTCTGTTCTTGGAATTACGACTCTGGATTGTTTGACTCTTCCCGCTGCTCTGTTTGGACGCAAGCTTTCGCTGTTCCTCTGACTACGAGAGTGCCTGCTGCTTTTGAATTATGTGCCTGGATAATACAAATAAAGCACCATTACCTGACTGATCTGTTCATTCTGCGCTTGAGTAATTCGTACTCAGTCCTGACTGGTCAAACATGGACTCATTTGAGGACAGAGACAGGAGGTCTTACTCGGCAGTAACCAGGCTATAATTTGTGAATTCTCCTTCTCTTTATATCCTCCAGCAGCCCATCATCCTACCAAGAGCTTCTCACCATGATTCCTTCTGGTGCTTCTGTAACAAACTTAGGCCAGTAGGAGATGTGTAAACCTCACTCTCCTAATACGAAGAGGCACTACGCTAGCTAGAGTCTGCAGTCTTTATCGTCCTTGTTAGTGCGCTGGTCAAATCCCGCTTGGGTCGAGTAGGACCTCTATAGACAGTAAAAGGGGTTAGCGGGGTGAGCGTAACAGACATAGGCAAGTAGGAGCTGCGAGTGTAAGCCTCACTGCAGTCTTTAGAGTCCTTGTTAGTGCGCCCGCCTCCCATGCCGGAGACACCAATTCGAATCCTGCTCGGAGTAGGTCAGGTAGGACCACTGTCTATGGGAAGGACCGGAGACACTTGTTGATTATAATGAGGTTTAAACCTACTTATAACAACCTTTAAACCTACTTATAACGACCTATCATGTTTGACCATATGGGATAGTGAAAATGGAGATAAATTAGTAGTGGAGACCTGGGTTGTTATAGTAAAACATGATTTTGTTGTGTTACTTGAACTAAAACAACTTTTTACTGAAATAAGATATTATAAAAACTTATTTTAAAAACTAAATTTCTCAGTTTCATTTAGTTTTGTGTACTACCATGTCTTAAACTACACTGTAAAAAATATTGTTGGTTTAACTTAAAGTAAGTAGTAACGTTGCCTTTTAAGTTGATTGAACTGGAAAAAGTGAGTTAACACAATGAAGGAGATTAATTTAATTATCAGAAACTCAAAATAATAAGTTATCTGAACTAAACAAATTATTTAAGTTGATTTGACAAAAGAAAAAAATGTTGTGATTACAAATCTTGAAAATATATATATATTTTTTTACAGTGGGAAGCACTGCCTCCATTGAGGAACTTTTAATAGTTTTCACTTTTTTTTTTACCTCTTTTATTTTACCTTGAAATTTTGGGTGAATGTTTTTAAGGGCTGCAGTGAAAAATAATAATATCTATTCCTTAATTTTGAGAAACTCCCTGTTTTAAAAGAATATATTCAATTCCTAGTGCCCTGACCACTGTAAAAAAAAAAATCTTGTTGGTTTAACTTAAAAAAAATTAAGTAACCTGGTTGCCTTAAAATTTTAAGTTCATTGAAATGAAAAGATTGATTTAATCATCAGAAACTCAAAATATGTTATCTGAACCACATAAATTATTTAAGTTGATTTGACTTACTCATGAACATATTTTTTTTACAGTGTAAAACTGAAATAAAATTAATAAAACTATATATTATAAAACTAACAAAAATGACTAAATCACTTACTAAAAGTTGGCTATATATTGCCTTTATTTTATTTTATCCTGTTTTTGGTTAGAGAGAGAGAAGTTTTCTTATTCGTCAAAAGTTTGATTCTTGTCCCTCTTGGGTAAATGCATAATGTTTGTTATTACTATTTTTGCCTTTCCTCTTCCAGACATAATACCTTACTTAATATTTTTATTTTCTTCCTTACCCAAATTGTGTGTGTTTGATGTGCGTAGACAAGAGAAATGATCTTCAGCAATCCATTTATCACTCCTCCCTAAGCCTAAACTGGGGAGGATGTAATACAGACTTACCATTAAATGTGTGTCAACACTTCACAAACCACAGAGACAGAGATGAAGCGAAATAGGCCCATTAACCTCAATTTTATCGGATTCACACAATGACCTAACGTTCAACATGAAGCATTTGTACAAGTTAATCACTAGTAGCCTGGCCCTGGAGTGTCACAATCTGTTTGTATTTGTTGTGAAATTAAGATAATACATAAAGTGAATGTACTTTATCATCATAATACTATTATCATCTTCATTATATAAACATTCAGAGCACATAAACTAACATGAGAAAGACAGCTAAAGTCTTCCAGAGTCGCTGAGTTTCCTCATTAATCCACGAGGACCGACCCTCTTATGTGACTATGTTAAAGGGCTACACTCACTTGCCTTATGGTCCATCTCTACCGGCTCATCCTCCCTAAAGCAGTCCACATTAAGCTGCACATCATCAGGCCGGGCCAATGTCACAGGAGGGGTGTGCCTGTGCGCTGTTGTGGGTCTGAAGTCTGCAAGTCCTTCCGGAACTTAGAGAGCTCATGCCAATGTAGATAAACGGATTGTAGAAACTTGCTGACTTGGCGAAGAGGCTTGCCAGGATGCCGTTGAGTGGGGGTACTTGGTAACCCCAGGCAGACCACATGGAAATGACTGTGTACAGGGACCAAGCCAACAGGAAGGCCGCACACACAATGAGGGAAACCTGGAGCGAGAACCAAAGCATGACACATGAGTGAATAAGATGCTGAGAGCAATGGTTATTTGTTAGATGAAAATTGAAATTTATGGGGCAATTGTTTTACCTGCTGCGTTCAATCTTTTTTTGCCTCTCGCTAACATCTCCCAGACTGAACTTGTGGCTGGACTTGACCCTAGCGGATGATGGACACATACGTGAAAACTACAATGAACAGCGGCATGAATGCAAGGCAAGGAAAGTTTATTTATTTAGCACATTTAATACACTAAAACAATTCAAAGTGCTTTACAGAAAGGAATTACTCTGAGATTTTCCTAGGCACCTAAGAAATCTATTGAGCTCTAGGACTGACTCACAGAGTAACCTCGGGCTCACTGCCCCATCAGTCCGCACCCCAAAAACCCATTTGTTCGGAAGCTCTAGGAATGGAATTGATCCAGTCCGCACCCCACAGAACCTCGAGTTTAATTACACGTTAAACTCACTACTCCATCACAGACCCAGGTCATCAGCATGGGTTCATCTCTCAAGTTCCCCAATTAAGTCATTTATGCTTGTCTCTTACCCAACTCTAAGTGCCATTTAAGGTCAGTTTAGAATCAAAAGGAGGAAAACATTGCAATCAGTCATACATAGTGGATACTGTTTTTAAAATAATTAAAGAGTAAAAAGATTGTACATAAAAAACTTCTCAGAAGAAGTTGAAGAAGAAAATGCTGATGACGGAGAGCTTGAACGGAATGGAGTACAGCGCTCGTGTCCAGTCGATTTCACATGTCCCATACCTGCGAGCTGCAGAAGAAACAAAATTCAAAGAAATCTCAATTTCAAATTCAAAAGATGGTAAACATTCTTGTTACAGTCCTACCTCTGAAACTGCCCCAGAGCTCCAGCCCAAAACAGAGAGAACAGCCAGACCGCAGTTATGATCAGGCAGATATTATGCTAGATGACCTGATGAGCTGAAGAGCATGGCAGAAACACTCACATCAGCACAGCTTTCACAGCGTAATCGTGCTGATTTATCTAACATTTGTGCAGCCAAGGATAAATCGCTTCTACAAATGGAAAAATAACAGTCCAGTCTAAGATTCAAGTTCAGACGTTTTTAAGTTCAACCACTTATTGTTTAATAAAAAAGACGAAACAAACAGGACTTGCAAGTATTCACAGTCCGCTAACTGTGTTTCCCAAACATGATGATTCCTTTGTTAAAAAAAATAAATAATAAAATTTATTCTGATAATTTATAATAAATGTAAAATTAATTTAATTTGAAGTTACATTTTTATTTTATTGATTCTAATTAAAATAACTGAACACCATCAAATTTGCTAAACATTATTATTGATAAATGTCTTGAATATAAATGGCATTTTAAAATGTAGGTTAATTTTTTTAATTCATATTTTAGAAAACTACATTTTACCCCTAATATATTTCTTCACAGAACCCCTAGCATCCACTTGCAACTCCTTTAAAACTAGAATATTTACTTAAATTTACTAAGAGTAATGCATGCAGCTATTTGTAGCATAATAGTCAATAATACGATGAGAATGTGAAATTCCCAAAATTTTGTAACATAATTGCAGAACAGCTTTCAATGACTCTACTGCATGAGCACCTGGACTAAATACTGAACAGCAGCCATACACAGGTATAATAACCCAGTAGGTTTGGCCAAGATAGAGCATACCATGCTGAGGGTGGAAACCTTTGATGTAGCGGATGACACTTATGGCCGTCAGTGTGTTGATGCTGATGAGTCCGAAGAGCAGGATTAGAAATCCATCCACCTGGCCAAGACACAATATACATTGCAAGCAGGTCTGGCATTCCGAGGCAGTAATCGCTCATACTTGTCTCATCACCCACTAACCAGACCCTGGGGAACAAGCCAGCTAGATTAGGGGATAAAGCATACCTGCGTACTTGGAACGACTACAAATAATTCATCTCGTCTGCCCCTCCAAACACCACCTGCCAGACTGCAAAGGGAACAGAGTGATGGAGCTCTCACACCATATACTGAGGTACCATATTAAGGTACAGAGAATACAAAACAATTAGACAATTACCTTGTATTACCAAATCAAGGTAATTGAGGTAAGGTAATCCTCCATCCGACACTGTAGACTGACATTTGAGGGAAGAACATTGTGGATGTACATCTTCCATTAAGTTGGACTCAGGGTGACGTTTGCTAGGGTTCACTTTCTCAGGATTTCTCTCATCATTGGTGGAAGTTCAGAATCAGCAGACATACAGCCAGACTAGACCAAATGCCCTGGATCTACACTTGAGCGCACATTTGAACTGTAACAGAGCACCTATGTTGATCAAGACTAGGTGTACTCTCCTTATCTTGTTAAAATTTTGAATTAAATTTTTCTAGTTAGTCACCAAACCACTTAAGACATTTACCTCAGCTCTTGAACTCACCGTCTCACCCAGACATCATTAAACCTGTAATGAGGATATCTACATCTCCCTCTGATGACTCAAGGTGGATTCAAACAAAGAAAACAAAGCGCAATTGGTGCATGAGACAGTTAAACTTTATTGTCGGTTACCATTAGTATTGAATTAAATAGTATAGGAAAACAGTATAAAGTACATGGAATATGAGTGATTCTGCAGTTAGAGAGGTTTTAATGAAGTACAAATGAAGAGATCTTGATTCCAGTTTCTAGAAGGGTGGATAGCTAGACTTCTACACTCCTCCTATTTCTGACCAAGCTGGGAGAGCTGTGGAGAAATGAATGGGAATAGTCTTAAAAGCTCTGATACCACAAAATCACATTAACACTTAAACAAAACTAGGATTGCTACTGAATAATTTTTCAGCATACAGTCAGTGCCATTTAAGTTAACTACAGGAAGAATTGGGAAAAGCGAGACACGACACCCTCCCCTTATTTTCACTCAGAGCAAAGTGGTAAAAGTACATTAAGAAGAAATTGATGTGGAAAAAAAAAACTGGGCAAAATGTTTAAAAAATATTTACAGAGGGAAAGGCACGTTATGACTTTGTGTCAAATTTGTTAAGACAAAGTACAACGTAGATTTGCTTCAAGCAGCAAAAAGCATTCCAAGACACTCAAAGCAGTGTTGTTCTCTCCAACTCTGGGATAATCAGTTGGATTTTAGAGCAATGGGTCGCGGAGCAGTTGATTTTTCATGGAATTCTGTCCTTGTACGTGAAAACGTGTTGATGAATTTGTATTTTCAACTGAAGTGTGACGCAAATCGGATGACAGTTTTTATAACATGCATTTCCTACTGTATCAGTTTATGCTGTAGGGAAGTGATCATACCTGTTTAATGAACTGGGCAGCATTGAAAAGCTCACTACAGCCATAAAGAACCCGCTTCCCTTGCTTGGCCTGAACAGAAGAAAATCATTACACTCGTCTTCATAAGCAAGTTCTCGTAGCACGTTTTACATTTGAAAATGGGCACAGTCATACCTTTGTGTAGTCAACAAGATTCTGATACTCTATGTAATTGCCTCCCCCAACGACAAAGACGATGGCCTGTGAAATGAAAATCTGTCATCAGTTGTTCAAGCTTAATCGTGTGTGAATTTCAACGCAAACTGTACAAACGCTTTGTTTTAAATAAAACCCTGTAATATTTCAATTGGCCCTCCTACAGACGTGAGCTCAGACACTCTGGGCTTCCAACTCACTTTGTCATCAGCAGGGCCTAATCTCCACTAGGAACAGAAGGCTATCTGTGTGACTAACATTACCCCGCCAGGTTACAGCACATGGGCGCCAAACTGTGAAGATACCGTATCAACATCCTCACAGTGCAAAATCACAACCATCAGATATCCCCATTGCTTTTTATACTCACCTCTTGAAAAGGGTTCTTGTTCCTTGGAATGGAGCTGAGGGAGTTAAACAGTTAGGATTAATTCATCATCACAGGCAGAGAGTGAAAATAGCCAATAGTTGTGGGGGGGGGGGGGGGGGGGGGGGGGAACTACAGATCGCCTTATATTCTAAATATTTTCAGTGGAAAGTTCCAGCTCTGGCAAGGATGTGAAGATCCGTTATTTACCTAACTTCAATACTGCCTTATGTATATGTAATAAAGACACAAGCGATTTAGAATTCCTCCATGGATCAAATGCCTTTAACATAATATTTAAATACAGTGGGACCAAGTCAAACACAGAGATGTATCATTTGAAAATATAAGGAGCCTAGTCTTCGTCTTCAGTGTGCTACCTCTCGCTTCCGCGAAGCATCTTGGGATCAAAGTATCTGTAGTCATCCGTCTCCTGCAAAAATCACAACACATAACATTAGGGATTAGAGCGCGTAAGCAAATTAAAGATGAAATAACACTCAGCGCACCCTCCCCACATCACCACCCTAAAAACCACCTCATCTATCTACATTAAATGCTTATCAAGATCTAATGCTTCCCAGCAACCATTCGTCTGAGAACCAGAAGCCTCAAACAGTAAAATGTCCTCCAGTTTGATTTAAAAAGTAAGATTATCATCTCTCTACTTTGAAGAGTCCTGACACAAATTGAGGAGAACTGTCTCTGAGGCAGGGGCCAATGGCCTCCTACTTCCTCATCCTCTGTATCAGATGGGCCAGGGCTGTCTCTTCCCCCACGGGACCTCAGTCAGCCCGGCCTGGCAGCCCTGGTGCTCTGGTGCATACTTAATTCTGAGAAGAAATGCTTTGCCGTCAGCTCACTGAAAGAAGAGCCCCACTCCACATCCAAATGGTAAAATGCTTTAGATTTTTCTGCTATCGGTTTACCCTCACCGGGTAGCAAAGCTCAGTATTAATAGTGAGAGCCGAACACACTGTTGCAACCTGGTCACACAGGCCCATCTGCAAGGAGTGTCTGGCGAGTGGAGGAGGCAGGAGATTCTGAAGCGCTCAGCTGCCCAGCTTCAGCCGTACAACAACAGCCGTATTGTGCAGGGCACTGAAATTCCAGTAGCTGAGAAAATGATAATATGGTTATGTTCAATTCAGGTTTATGGGCAGTGAGGGGGAAGCATTTCCAGTCGGTAACAGGATATGGCAATCTGTCCACCCCAGCTTTTAAGGCCGAGAAGATCAGAGGGACCCTGAGGGTGTTTCAGACGGAAAAAAAGGTCCTTATGTCAAGGTACGAGAAGGGGAATCTAAAAGGCCACTGTTACACAAGTGAATGATTGCAAGAGCTTATATGTTAGCTAGCTGTCTCCATTACAGCATTTTATATTTAAAACACATCGGGGATAGTTCTTGGAAGTGTGCTTAGGGAGAATTCAAGATGTCTAAATAGAGAAGAGTCCTATCATGAGGGAGCTGTCAAAGATTTGCCACATCATATCCTTTGTGGTAATTCCACATTTATATATATATATAAAAAAAAATATGAAAAAAAAAATTCAGCATTAATCATTCCCCCCACACTGTGCCGGCAGCTAGTTGATTGCAAAGCATCAAGAGAAATTTTCAAAGCAGATTTTTCCTTTAAGGTGATCCAACAATAACTTGAAAACCACCAGTGTGTTCAAATAACTGATGCTTTATATGCAGACAATGAGATCCTTAAACCTTAGCAGAACACAATCCAATTATTGCTAAAATTGCTTCGGCTTCTGTACAGACGCCCCCTAGTGCTGTGCACCTGTGGGGTTTGCACCTCTGTTTCGCCTCACAAAGGTGAAAAGCCCGAATGGGCTGCTTCCAAATCCCTTAGCCATAGAAACTTAATACATCATGCTTCGGGTTTGCTCACTAGAAACCCTCTTTCTCTCCGCAGGTGTTCCCCTGGCTGAGACATTTGCATTAACCGTGCAGCTCAGATTGCCTGGATTGAAGTCTCAGCACACTCAAAGAGCCTCTTCAGTGCCCCGTTCAGAACAAATTCAGTGTCCCATAGCGCTGCAGTGTTATTTGCATTCATTCGCAGTAGGAGGTAGAGCAGTCCGCCTTGGTGATACACAATGGTCTTTAAAGATGTTTGGATTTAGACTTTTAGCAAACAATCAGAAAGATATTATTTACTATAAGAGTTTCATACTAATAAAGCTAAACTCATACTAAAAATATACTAATAAAGCAGCAAAACATATTAAATATTTCTGCTTATGAGGGAGAAGGAAAAACGATGTAGGGAAAAGGAGAAACAGACAAGAGCGCTCACCGGGTTTGACTTCATTTCCATCAAATTGTCCAAGATGCGAGTAACCGGCAAGTTCTATATCAGAGAAGAAAAAAAAAACATTTAAAATAAACCCCCAAAAAACAGATATTTAGCATGTTCCAGATGATTTATCCAAAGAAACATAAAAATGAAAAACATCACAAATCATAAGTAGTTCTGAAGGCTCAAACCCCTGTCTTTTCTCATAATGAATTTTTCAAAAGGAAAAGTGCCTCTCTCAACAAATCATCATCAACAAAAATACTGAGGTCAATAAATCAAAATGCAGTTACAAATCTGTCAAAAGTCTGGAAATTCCTGTTTATTTTTATGGATCAGCTCAGCTGTCAGAAGGTCTGAGATTTCGTTGCCATAATGTGTTGCTGCTATGGGTTTGCGTCTTGCTTCAGACTTGACAAACAAAGTGGCATTCTGACACCACTTGCTGGCTAACCACGATTCATTCTATATACTTTTCATTCAAATTTCTTTGTTGTAATTATTCTGCTCACAGTAAAAATAAAATACAAGGTGAATATGTTAGTAGTAGTAGCACATTTATTACTGTGACTAGACAGTCTGTTTACAAAAGCGTCCGGGAACCATATATAGCATAATTTACATAATTTATTAATGCCAGTGTGTTTAATAAATGTATATAATACCCCAAACAAAAGTGATGTGGCAAAACAAGCTTAAATTTCACTGGAAAATTTGAAGTGGAGTGGCAACTTTCCAGTTTTATTCATCATAAATTGGTTCAAAACTGTATACTTTTCCATTCACCTTTGTTAAAAACTGAAACCAGATAGTGGTTAATATAGTCCAAATGGACAGAAAAATGTGCATTTGTGGAGCGATTTATAGAAT